TGGGAGCCTGCTGAATCATCTGCTGGTTCATGTTGTGACCCATGGGCTGCGCATTCATGGGAGACTGCTGAGCGATCTGGTTGTTCATATGGGTGCTCATCTGGTTGCTCATGGGCTGCATGTGCATAGGAGAGTGTATAGCAGGCTGAACCTGCTGCATCGGGCCAGGCTGCATCTGCATCTGCGAAACGATCTGGTTGTTCAAGGGCAGCTGAGTCTGGATCTGCATGCCCTGGTTGCTGTTGATCTGTGGGTGCATCTGAGTCTGAGTCTGGATGCTCTGCATGTTCTGCTGCATGTTCTGCTGCACGCTCTGCTGGGTGTTCTGCTGAGTGTTCTGCTGCATGCAATCGCCATTCTGCGGAGCCTGCAGCGACTGCGTGCCAACCATCAGGCCATGTCTGGGGTTGAGAGGATAGCTAGGTGGCATGACAGTCAAGGTGCCCTGGGCAGCCTCGGAGGAGGGAGCAGCCTCGATGGCCAGGCTGGTCAGGCGCTGCTGAACATGACTAAGACGAGCAGGAGTAGAAGCGACACTGCCATGGTAGCTGTTGTTCTGAAAGGCGCGGTTGCTGCCACCGCCGTTGAAGCCACCGTAGCGACGACGTCTATCCATACGCTGTTGAACGCGGATGATGTGGTCCTCGACGAGGGAGTCATTCTAGTGAGCATGTCAGCTTGAAGGTTCTTCACACTTCAGTCAAGTAAGACTTACGAAACGCTCAATGGCAGACCGGGCATAGCTGACGTTGGTAAACTCAACAAAAGCAATCTGCTTGGGACCGTCTGTGCAGCTGTCAGTTTCGTTCACATAAGCATAGGAGGTATTGATTGAGACTCACCCTCGTAAGCGCACTGCTGGGTATGAACGGCAACCACACCTCCAATTTGATCCATGAGGTTGCGAATCTTGTCCTCGGTGAAACCGAGGGGGAGATCACCCATGAAGATGGAACGGCCGTCACGCTCTGCAGTGTTGTTCTCCATGGGAGGACGGTGAGGCATGCGAGCGCGGATCTGCATGGCCTTCTTGAAGTCGTACGACTCAACCCTGTATGTGTGGTTCATGCGGAAAGCCCGAAGCACCTGCTGAGAGGGATCATGAACAGCGAACTGGACACGAACAGTGACCGGAAGTCCGAGCTTCTCTTGAATCTCCTTGTCCAAAAGGTTGATTCTGTCAAGGGCGCCGAATGGAGTCAAGAGCTCCTGGGCCTCCTCAACCGTCATATTAACTCGATCATGGCGGTAGATGATGTAGGTGCCTATGTTAGAATGTCAGCTTCAATCACGAGAACGTAAGGAGACCGAACTCACGGTTGGCGCGAACAGTCTCGGTGCGGCACGGGCGACCAAGAATCAAGCTTCCTCTGCCCTGGATGCGGGCATCCTCGGCATCCTCCTTCGTCTGTGATTGTGTTAGCGAGGCTGTCGAGAGTGAATACCATGTGGAAAGCTGCTTACATTGAATTGAACGAAGGCGTAGGGCATGCCGCTTCCATCGCGACGAATCTTGACGAAGACAACGCCGAAGCGGTCGAACTCGCTGATCACAGCGGCCTCGAGAGTAATGTCATCCTTGTACTCAGGGAGGCTGATATGATAAATTAGTGTTGAGCACTGATGAGCTTCTCTCGAGATTGGAACTTACTTGGCAACGAAGATGCAAGAACCAGTAGGGAAGCCGAACTGAGAGGTATCGGCGACATTGCGCATGAAGGAAGAGATGCCCTTGCTGGGAGAGCCACCGACATACTCATTGCGCTGAGACATGCCATTGCCACCAATCTCCGAGGTCTGAAGGTTGCTCTGACCGAGGGTGTAAGACAAGGCCGTGACCACGGGATCCTTGCCTGAGCCAGACGCGGTCTCGGTGAAGACGTCGCTAGCGGTGGTCTCAGGGATGGTGGAGCGGCTGCCACCCCTATGAAACAAAGTCAGATTATGTCCAGAACGTGATGGAAATTCCAAACTTACACAGCGGCTGTGGCGGACGAAGTAGGACGCAGCGCCTTGGCGGCATCCTTGGAAGAACGACTATCAAATGTCAGTGGTGATGAGAAAATGCCGTAGAACAGATGTCACTTACGAAGGACTGCCTCTCAGAGAGGAAGTGTTCAACTGCGCCGAGCTCTCAGCTGTCTCAAGAGACGCGAGCAAGCCGTACGGGTTACCCGCGAGGTACTCGTTGGTAAGGCGGACGCCGCCGCCAGTCTCACCATCCTCCTCCGAGGAGGAGGACTTTCCGGTGGACTTGCGACCATTGCGGTCGCCAGCCTGGCCAGCATTCTGCGAGGCCATCGCAGCAACGCGCAGCGCCTGCTCACGGTCGTGCTGGATGCCCAGCTGCTCAAGACGCTCCATGAACATGGCTCTGTCAGCCGGATCAGCCAGGAGATCGCTCATTGAAGCCATCGCGAATGTGTATGCTGAAGTTGTTAATTTCGCAAACGACGGTTTCGAGGATTGAGAGCTTCGAGAATGATGAGATTGGATATGAGAAAGTGATGTAGGCAAGAAGCAGTGGAAGCTTGAGATGGGAATGGGTATGGGTTGTGGGTATGAGTTGTTGTGTGAAGAGAAGTGTAGATATTTTGACTGCTGATGTGTGAGTTGTGGAGGTTGAAGAAGGTAAACAAACAGCAAAGGGTGGGTGAATTTCCGAGAGGTAGAGGAATCCAGAGGATAGAGAGATCGTGGGATTCAGATTCAACCCACAGGGCAAGGCTAGGGCTTTAAATGAGGCTATCGTGGGTCACTCACCTCTCGCAATAGTTGCTGAGAGGGCGGGAGCAGCCTCATGGGCTGATGCCCGACCTGCTCCCGCCTTCTGTGAGGTCATGACCTCACTCACGATAGTTGCAGAAGGGCGAGAGCAGCCACGTCTGTTCCCGCCCTTTGCGATGAAAGGCCATAATCTCACAGAAGAGGCGAGAGCAGCCTCATGAACGAGAGCTCTCACCTGTTCCTGCCCTTTGTGAGATCATGACCTTAAATCACAAAGGGTAGGGCAGAGAGCAGCCTCATGAGTGACAGGCTTGTCTGCTCTCACCCCTTTGTGAGGTGTTTGTGACCTCACTCACGATAGTTGCAGGGTGGGCAGGAGCAGCCTTGTCGATGATAGCTTGCTCCCACCCTTCGTGAGGTGAGGTCATGACCCGACAGGTGATTGCAAGGAGGGCGAGAGCACCCTTGTAAACAAGGGGCTCTGCCTGCTCCTGCAGTATTGTTTGAGCGAGTTATTCTAGCAAATTTTCGAGCAGATTTTTCGAACAAGTTTTCGAAGCAGATTGTTGTAGTGTTGAAGCAAAATATCGAGAGAGCTGTTCAGCAAGTCAGTTATCAGAATTCTGATTGAAAGAATAGGTATGGGATGCTCTCACCAGCCCACTCATCGTTTCTTGCGCGGCGATGAGATGGGCTGCCCTCATCGCGATTTTGGGACGGCAGCTCTCGTCTGATGTGGGTGAGAACAAGTTGAGAAGGAGTTTGTGCGCTCCAAGTGGAGAGACTTTGTTCACCTGGGAAAATCTGGGCGGCGGGCAGAATACGACGGACGAATACGGCAGGTACAAGTTGAAGACTCCTGCCTCAGGCGATACTCAACCCATCATGAGGGTTGCTCCTGCCTTCCGTCTGATGCATCTACGTTACATGGAGGTGACCAAATATTGCGGTCAAGTTTCACCAGTGAGAGATGAGGCATTGAGGGTTCTAAGACGAAGATGAGCTGTAAGACGAACACGAGCTTCACTCACTTCATCGCTAATATTACCGCTGAAAGAGACAGTAAGACAATGACATCATGAGACTTATGGATTTTTTCTCTAAACAAATGAAAGTGCAAGCTGAAGTACAATATTCTTTGTCGAGATAATGGTGATGAAAATGCCTTGCGGAGCACTGGTTCCTGCTCATCCTCCTACACTCTCCCTCCACACCTCTTCCACACAGGCAACTTGAACAGTCTCTTTTTTCTTATATTTCTTCAGTTATTTCGTCCATCGTCTGTTTTCCCTTCAAAAAATCACTTTGATTTCCTATTTTCTTCAAGCCTCATGGTTTGTGGAATGTGCCCTTTGGAAGACGTAATGGCGATCATACTGAAGAATTGATTCGATATGGAATAGGCTTGCATATTAAATGTGTATATAGTGTGTCCTCAATTCATCCAAGTCCAGTCAGTAGAGCTCATGCCTGATTATTGGGGGACTCGTCGATGATGATTCTTCATCATCGTTTGGTTCAAGTTAGGTAGCTTAGGTTTCCCAGGTTGCAAACATCGCACTGCTTCCAAGAGGGAAAGATCGACAATGATGAATTTCGGCATTCAAGAACGCATCTCATTGCGGCCTGAGAGGGCAGGACAATTGAGGTCACGCCAATACTCCTTGAAGAAGGTACTCGAGTACATCTTCTGCTGAACAGCACGCGAAAGATTCTGTAAGCGGGAAGGCCCTTGGCGTCTCCCGTTCTCACCTCAGGGCACTCTTGACCTTATCTTGTCTCTCAATATCCCAATTGAGGCCCAGGTATGTGCATTAGCAAGACTGAATACGACATGGCTGAACCTTCCACTCCAGAATTTATGTGAGTTGACACAGGGGCCTGTGAGGTACCTACTTGGATCCTCGCGCAGCTCTAGAGCGCTACTTCCCAGATACTCAAAAGCTTCATCGGGCAAGGACGGTTACCGTCCAATTCGTCTTCGCGATCTTCGCCCAACACAACACCTGCCTGATAAATCTGAGATCTCTGTGGTACCTTAGTCAGGTTGGCAGGTAGATACTTTCTCCAATAAAGTAGTAGTGAGTGGAAGGAAGACGACGATCGGCGAGGACATAAGGGCATGTCTGCCTCTCTCACGTCTCCCTTCTATTTCCGAGCTACATCACACCAACACATCATCACCCGCAGGCATAATCACAGCTATTCTTTTCTTGGCACTTCGCTTGAACTATTCAATACCAGACACTCAAGTTCAAACAAAATCTACAGACATGGTCGACGACGGTGTAGTAAGGGTCGTCCGAAACCCGCAAACGCAACAAGCTTCTCGAGGAGAAGCCGTCATAAATGACGACTGCTGGGACTTCGAAAACATGGGAAGCCATCTCCAGGTAACACACATCGATGGGACCGTCCGGAATGTGGACAGGGACGCTCTCGGCACTACCATCTCGTCAGAAAGTGGCAGTATCTGGCTATTGATGTTGGTAAGTAATCCATTCCATCTTGTTGTTGTTATTAAATCTGACTGATACACTCCAGGCCCAATCATTGGCCATCGCAGCTGCGTTTCTGGGTTGGGTAGCACCCGGAAACACGAGGTACGTGCTGTGATCATGAACACAATACGGCCTCCCTTGGCTCATACTAATGACAAACAATAGTGTGCTGTTCCATACAGACCTACCTCAGACAGACAAGGTGCATTGGACGCCAATCATGTAGTTCATGGGAAGCTCCATCGGATTTCTCCTCCTCGGTCGACTTTCAGACCTGTACGGACGGAGGCAGTTCATTGTCGGAACCTCCCTTCTGGGAGTCGTCGGCTGCCTCCTCGGCTCCTTTGCGGTCAACGCCGAGATGCTCATCGCCGCCAATATCTGCAACGGAATGGCTGCTGCCGCCCAGCTACCTCTTGGAGTTGCTGTAGCCGAACTCGTGCCGAACAAGGACAGAGCAAGAACAGTTGCCGGTACTTTAGTACTGCCATTCCTTGTTGCTGGTTTGGGCTCTGCCATAATCCCATCATTGTTGGACGATGGCAGCCCGGTGCAATGGCGTTGGGGCTATTACACGGGAGCCTTTCTGGCTTTCGTCTCCTTTCTCTTGTATCTGGGACTCTATCGCCCACCTTCGTTCTAGCAGCTCAATGTGGCCGGGAAGACCAAGCTTGAGATGATCAAGCATTTGGACTTTGTCGGCATCTTCCTTTACGTCTCTGGCTGCGTTTTGTTGCCACTCGGGTTCTGTTTGGGAATCTCCACGTACCCTTCTGTCGGCAAAGAGGTCATTGGAACCCTAGTCAGTGGTTTCTCAGCGCTTGTCTTGTTTGTAATACACGGTGAGGTTGGATCGCATTCGAATATTCTGACATATCTTCTAACGTATCGCAGAAGCATTTTCCACCGCCGAACAGCCTCTCATGCCTCCAAAGATGTTCAAGAATGTCCAGTTCGCAAGTCTCGTTGCTTGTGCAACTTTCTCCTCGATGGTTTTTTATGCCCTCACCGTCCTCTGGCCATTTGTTATCGGAAAGGTTTTCAACAAGGACTCGGACACGGTTGCTTGGTCTGCCTCATTGCTACCCTTTGGTGCCACACTCGGAATAGCCTTGACAGCTGTTCCGTCACTACGTGGTGAACGCTTCAGAAAACAGTGTATGGTAGCGTCAGGTGTCGCTCTGGCTCTCATGGCTCCATTATGCACTATATGGTTTGACACCCGCCATGGACTAATTGTTCTGACGGGCATATGTGCGTCTTTTGGTAAGTCTTGCGGCGATCCCCAGGCGTTGCCTGAGAGTTTTTGACTGATACATACGTCTTAGCTCTTGGCCACATTGTTGCCGTTGCCATCACTGGTGTCACCCTTGTGTGGGAACCGCAAGATATCGGCCTCGCATCAGGAGTCCTCGGCTCAATGTGTAGCTTGGGCTGTGCCTTCGCAAGGGCATTAGTTACCTTGTTATTGAGGAAAAAGCTGGAGGAGCAGCTGACCAAGTCCGTCACGCCAGTTGTCTTGGACGCTATCCTGCCCGGCCCCATTTTGAAACAACTGGCCACCACCATCCGAGAGCAAGCAACAATGAACGGGAAAACCAACTTGACGGCGTTCACATCAGTGAGCATACTCTCCAGGTTTGCAATTACCAACGCAATTCAAGCCGGATACAGTTATTCACTTCGATTGATCTTCCTTGCCATCATCCCTTTCTCCGCTATTCTCCTGATCGCCGCTTGCTTCCTTCCAAATCTGGACCAGTTCAATACTCTAAAAGTTGCAAGAAGATTGCAAGGCCCTGATGGAAACGCCCCACAGAATGATGAAGAAGCGGCCGAAGAACCAGGACTTGAGTTGTCGATGCTTGGTCGGCCTGTGTCAGCCGCAGATGTGATTTGACCTGTCTCAAGTGTTTTTTTGTTGACGGCAGCTTAGTAGGATGCTGGGTCATTGGGGGTTGGGTCACATCGGAATGTTTTCGACCAGCATTGCTTTAGTGTTAGAGGAGGAAAGACAATAAACTCATGAACTGTTTCCGCAAAAGGCGTTTTCTAGATCCACTCATGAGTTGTTTCGCGAATTCCAGGCGGCACAAAGGGTTCAGGTACGGGAGAGCGTAGTAATTCGACGGAATCCGGGGATTGCCTCATATCGAACGACCGGGATGGTGACAGACGATGATAACAGCTGTTGCGAGACCAATGAGACCAGGTTCGTATTCACCGGATGATGAATCCAATGTTCGTCAGATCCCGGCCGGTCTTTGGATTGACGATCATTGGATCGTTGGCTGAGGTGGTGGGGTGTGGAGACTGAAGTTTGTCAATCGAAGTGGGAAATGTCTTGTCCATCGACAGCCAAAGCTCCGATGGCGGGGCATGGCGGGGTGCAACCGACGTCGGTCGCTCACCCCAAAAATTATTGGGCCGGGGCGCCGCCGGCGACATGCCACTCTCCCCTTGACTCACATTGCCAACCCGCCCAATTTCTCTATTTATCTCCAAGCTGTGGCCCTCGCTGATTCAGTCCAATTCCTCCTTTTCGACAATTGATACCCTCGATACCCCTTCGTCATCTTTCACAATGGGCGAATTCCCCGTCAAGAAGTGCGGTACGTTTTAGCCCCTCCACCCCGCCATTGCCGCCCTTCCGCCATCGGGAAACCTCGATATCGGCAGATTGCAAACTTTGGCGCCTTTCAAGATGTATCCAACAATCCAAAGCTAATTCAGAGTCCACCTCAAGGCGTTCTCGGCTGCACCGGCTCCGTCGGCCAGCGCTTCATCCTGCTTCTGTCGCAGCACCCGTACCTCAAGCTCGTCGCTGTCGGCGCCTCGTCCCGCTCCGCCGGCAAGAAATACCGCGATGCCGTGAGGTGGAAGCAGGCCTCGCCCATGGGCGCCGTCGCCGACCTCGTCGTCCGCGAGTGCAAGGCCTCTGAGTTCAGCGACTGCGACGTCATCTTCAGCGGTCTCGACTCTGACGTTGCCGGCCAGATTGGTGAGTATTCCCAAGTGCTGCTGTTCCAACGCCTGCGAAGGAAGGACTGCACTCGCCAAGATTGAGAAACAATGGCTAACCACCACGGCCAAAACAGAGATGGAATTCCTCAAGGCCAACCTCGCTGTCTTCTCTAACGCAAAGAACTACCGCCGCGACCCTCTCGTGCCTCTCGTCGTCCCCACCGTCAACCTCCCCCATCTCGACCTGATCCCCCACCAGCGCAAGCAGCACAACCTCGAAAAGGGCTTCCTCGTCTGCAACTCCAACTGCGCCGTCATCGGCCTCGTCATTCCCTTCGCGGCCCTGCAAGCCGTCTTCGGCCCCGTCGACCAGGTCTCCGTCGTCACCATGCAGGCCGTCTCGGGCGCCGGCTACCCGGGCGTCTCGTCCATGGACATGATTGACAACGTCGTCCCCTTCATCTCGGGCGAGGAGGACAAGCTCGAGACGGAGGCGCGAAAGATCCTCGGCACCATCACCTCGGACCTCACCGCGTTCGAGGACCAGAGCCAGCTCAAGGTCAGCGCGGCGTGCAACCGCGTGCCCGTGCTCGACGGCCACACGGCCTGCGTCTCGCTCAAGTTTGCGCGCCGCCCCGCGCCCTCGGCCGAGGAGGTCAAGAAGGCGCTGCGCGAGTACGTCTCTGAGGCGCAGAAGCTTGGGTGCCCTTCCGCGCCCGAGAGCCCTATCCTCGTGCACGACGAGCCTGACCGGCCGCAGCCGAGACTCGATCGCGACCTCGGTAGGGGGTACACCGTCAGCGTTGGCCGTGTTCGGGAGGACGAGAGCGGAATCTTTGATATCAAGTTTGTTGCGCTTAGCCACAACACTGTCATTGGCGCTGCTGGCTCGTCGATCCTCAATGCTGAGGCTGCTGTGCTCAAGGGCTTCGTTTAAGCATCTTTGAGATGGAGAGGAAACGAACAAGTGGAAACGAATAAGATTTGAGGATGGTCGGGTATTTATCATGAGGGATCACAAAAATATTGGTGTATGGGTGCACGGTTGGTCGCATTTACGGCACGGAAATATCACAATTGAAACAGCATGAGGGAGAATCTAGACGTACGGTAGATGAAAAGTAGGCCTACCGATTGCGGTGGATTTCCCGCTTTAAAATGTCTTGAGGCCTTACCTGAGTGCGAAATGAGAGTGACGGGCGTTTGAGTGACAGTTCTGTCGGCAGTCACTACTGGCGTATTATATGCTGGGAACGGGATCCTACCTGAGGTACCTTGGGTAGGTTTCTCTGGTTTGAGAGGCTGCCTCGTTGAGTGGAAGGCGTATGCATACTACTGCCGCTGCAGTCAGCAAATCCTACACGGAGGTGAACCTGGGCAGGCATGCTGCATCCCGAACCAGCCTTCAATCGCTCGGTATGGCTAATTAAAGATCAAGCTGCATCGAAGAAAGACCTTCCCTGTGTCTGCAATTCTATCATAGGTCTTTTATCCCCCATCTCGCCTTGGCTCATGTTCTTCTATTCCAACATGCTCTTCTGCGTTTTCTCCGATCAACGTCACCGATAACCATCACGATGGGTAGACCCAAGTTCTCCCAAAGTCGATGGCGACAAGCTGCGTTTTACTTCGCCGTGGCAGCCTTCTCAACTTTTTTCCATCAACTTTGTATTCACACTATGGGCGAGCATCCAGAAACGTGACACGATAAGTGACGGTGTCGGTATTCTGCTTGATACGGACTGTTCAACCATCCGAATACCATATCCTGATCAACGTCCTGGGTATAATTCTTCTTGTGGGTAGTAATTACTGTATGCAAGGCTTAATGGCACCAACCCGACCAGAGATTGACGATGCACACGCCAGACAACAATGGCTCGAAGTTGGGGTCGCCAGTGTTCGAAACTTTTGGAACATCATATGGAAGAAGAAGACTTTCTGGGTATTAATTGCAGCTTCATCCCTTCCATTACATCTGGTGTAAGTATGGTTATTACACTTCCTCATCTTCTCTTTTACTGTTTCTCCCCCCTCGGAGCCCTTACTGATCAACAATCAGAAACAACTCCATCATCTTCAGCTCGATATCAGTGAACGACTACAGCGTCTTGAATACGAACGCGTACATTTCAAAGAACAAGACCGAAGGCGCACTCGACAGTGCCGACTGGAAGAGCATGTACTTAAATTTTCTTGGCGATAACGTCGAGGAAATGGACGCAACACGATGCATCGACGTCTACCGAGTCGGTTTCCTGTCCTCACGAGGAAACTTACTCGTTGTATCTGATGATAAGAAGGAAGAAAATCGTACGGCTGAGGTCTTCGATATTTCGGGATACCCATATCTTTGGATGTGCGGCCAATCAGGTGAAAGAATTGCCGGCATACTCGCTGATAACTCGACATGCGAGGACTATCTGGTCGAATTGCGAACTACGTTGGGAAACTGGAAGCCTCTGGGACCAAGCGTCAAGGAATGTTACAGCCAAAAGACTGAATAGCATCGCAAGCTCCTCTTCAGCAGCACTTTCTGCTGGACTGTGACAGCGTTAACTTTGCCAAAGGCGTCTTGATGCTCTTCGTCGCCTTCGGAATGGGCGAAGAAGATCCTCTGATGACCATTGGAGATGCAGTGACCTCTTTCCTTGAAGATCAGGATGAGTCGACTGCGGATATGTGCCTCAAGTCCAAGGGCCACTTTATTGCCCAACATTGGTCCAAAGGTCCAATACAATATGATCTCAAACCGCAACGGAAGTTTATCGCCGTTGGCCCAGCGGCTTGGTTTCTTTGCTTCTTGTTGTATGCTTGTGTTTCCCTCCTTTCATTATATCAACATGCTGACAATGCCACCAGGCACTTTGGACTCATTATCGCCTGTGCAAGTTTGCTGGTTGGAGGCCTGAATCACATGTCTGGTGGCGGCGATATCACAAAGCTTGCTCTCGGCGCCATGCAGACCAAGACCATCCTGAACACGGGTGACATGAGTCAAGGATCTATACTTGCTAATATTCTGCTTGTCAACACGCCTCAAATTATTCTTTCACTCGTTTACTCCACTTACAATGCCCAGTACACCAGTATATCCTTGATTACTGAATGGGACAGGTTCGGCAACGAGAAGGAGGCAAAGAGCCTTCGCGTCTCGTCTACACGCAGAGGAGCTCAGCGAGATACCTACTTCCTTCAACTGCCGTAACGCTACTCGTTCCCTCTTGTAATATTTTCAGGGGGACTTCACTGGCTCATTTCTCAGAGCTTCTTCCTCGTCAACCTGGAGGTATATGTCCCTTCAGCTGATGGCAGGTCTATGGTACGACTAGTAGAGGGGAACTCGTTTGCCGGTGTGACAGCCTACGGGTGGTCGCCACTCGGGGTTTTTTGTATTCTCGTGGTAATTCTCTTCATGATGGGATTTCTCATTATCACGGAGAGACGTCGTTTGCGATTCGGGGTCATGCCCGTGGCGGGCAGCTGCAGCGCGGCCATCTCTGCTGCTTGTCACCCTGACTCGGACGAGGGAAAGATGTGGGAGAAGACTCTGAGATGGGGCGTAGTGGACTCATCTACCGTCGGGCACTGTTCTTTTTCTTCTGAGCCAGTCTCAGTCCCGGTTTGTGGTCGTTTGTACTCGTGAGTCGGTACTCTGTCTATTGATTCCTTGGGACGGGCTGGGGAACGAGAGCTTCTAGTTTAGAAGCTCACAAGCCGTGGACGATGTCATGGGAAAAAAAGATCAACAGGGTCCGAGATATATCGTCGTTATCGTCGACTGGCTTCGTTGCCTTGTGAGACAACCTATGTTGCGAGTCTCTGCTAGAAGGATGCGACGGCTCCCCAAGGGTCATACTCAATTCATATATACTGTCCTGCCTCAAGCATGAGTGTCAACAAGGCTTGGTCGTGCTCATATCTTTGTACCTCTATCAAATCTATCGTACTTCTCATTGTGACATGGCGAAATAAGATACATTCTCAAGAGTCGAGATTTCCCAAGCAGGCCAGGTCAAATACAGTGGTATACCCAACGGATGTACACAGAATGGACGTATGGCGCATAATCAGAGCAAGAGAGAATTTCGTACAAACAAGCCGCGATTGTACAAGAGACAGGATCTAAACGGGCATGGCAAACATCTACTGAGTTATCAGTTGGGCTAAGTCTTCTCGTACGGGGACGTAGTGAAGCCAGAATTAATAGAGAGATTTGTCTTTACTCGGCAGTGAATCCATGGGCGCAAAACTTGTGCCTCGAGGTATAAAGAAGCTGACAGGCAGATTGAATGTTACAAGAGATTGTAGATAGTGGTAGTGATGTTTCTTGGTATCATCTATTGTTTTCTATGGCCACTCAATATCTTTTGCCAGCATATCGAGGCTTTTGTCGTCAACAAATCTGATATCAGGATACAGCTCCCGAAGAGACGCTCACATCGTGGATATGTCTCTCGGCGGAGGCACGGGCGGGCTCTTCATCCCCCCAATTCTGCCTATTCTTCCGATCTTTCTGCTCCTGGTACTCGTCCAGCCTGTTCATGCACCTCTCCCTGTCGTACCGTTCCGTGAAAACGCCCTCCTCGCGGTATATCTGCGCGTGCGGCGTATCCCGGGTGGTGTAATATATTTGTCTTCTATTCAAGGCAGTCTGTGTTTGTAATGAGCATCAAGAAGTAATAGTAGCGTTGAATCATGGGGATTGCACATACCATCTCAAACTTTTTGAACTTTTCCTTGGCCATGGCGAAAAACTCGCGAAATGTGTAGGTTTGAAATCTGCGCCAGGCTTCTTCGTCCGGTGCTTGCTGTATTACGCAAGATTAGGAGCGTATTCAGACATGGAAAAGCTTGAATAAGTCAGCATCTCTGGAAGACTTACAGGATCCGATAACCTGGTCGGCTTCGGACCAGTCTGGGGATCCGCAAGAACAATCGTGCCGCGCTCCGTGTCGATGAGGATATAATGACCGTCGCGGCCGGACGGTATGGTCGCGTAAACAAACACATGGGGCGGAAGGGGTGCGGTCGAGATGTTGCCTTCGTAAGGCTTGAAGAGCCACTCGTCGGCGTACTTGGTGGGCAGGCTCAGGACGACGTCGCCGGTGAAATCGACAGCGGTGGCGCCCTCGTAGACCATCCACGGATCCCAGTGGTCCTCCTTGGTACGGCTGACGTAGGGAATATACCTCATCAGCCGCCACAGTGTCGTTCTTGCCGAGGCAGAAAGATTTGACGAAGTCGGGCGTGATGTGCTCCCAGCCGCCCTCGGGAGGGTGTTGGACGACCTCTGGCGGTAGGAAGAGCCGCGTGAGGAATTCATAGTACGATGTGAGCTCCGAGACGAGCTCGTTCCTCGAGTATGAAGGTTCCGCCATTCGGAGGGAGCGAGGAGAATATCTTTGTGCCGAGAGATGAACCAACAAAGGAGCTCTTCACTGGGGAGGGAACGGGGGTCCATACTTATACTAGGCACCAACGTGGGTGCATGCGGGGCCGAGTTCACCTCAGGAACTTGTTGCCAAGCTTTGTTAGACGAGACATATGAAGAGAAATTCCTTCGCCTGCTCCTTCATTGAGAGAGCTTATCTTGTTGCCCGTTGGTGGATAGCTGGTTCGATCGGTTCCCGCGTCTCAAAACAGTGGCACCGGCAATGGCCAGATCTGTTCCACAGGTGAGGATGAACAACCATATTCATAAATTATATAGACTTCTCTACCCCTATTTCAGAGAAAAATAATTCCAGTTAGTGTCTAGCGAGGTTTCTTTCCATTTACCCTGATCCGTAACCTGCTGACGCCCCTCGGTGCGTGATCGAAGACTCGGAGGGGTACGGGATGGCCAGAGTTGCGTTTCAGACACTGCCAGTTCGTCCATTCCATTGAATTCATATGCCTCCAAGCTGGTAGCTCTGAAACCCATTCAAGGTAGGTAATTTCGCAACCGCAGTCATGGCAGGAAAGAGGTTGTTGGAAGCCTCTCGCAGTCTTTCCCGCCTCAATTAGGATGCCTTAGTTAAAGCAACGGAATCCTTTGAGTGTATGGTGACAATGAACGCCCCTGATGGAGAGTAGATCGTCGCGTTCGGTTCTGGGGTATCTTCTCTGGGTGCTGTTTCTGTGTAGTTTCTGGCAGTCGAATGAGGCAATGTGGCACCGACTTGACTATGAATACTCAACAGTTCCAAGACACGATATGGCAAAGTGTAGCAAACACTAAGCCTATGCGCAATCTATCAGAAAGACATGGCTTATGAAGGAGTCAGTGAATCAATAGAGTATTATGATAGGCACAATCCATGCTTCAACAGATATGCATCTTACCCGACCCCGACTCACGACATCGAAGGGTAACCATCCAGCAACGAACTAAAACACACTGGTATCAAAAAGCAAGGAGATCATCGGAATCAGCTATACCATTGGGATGCTTATGCCTCGAGGTAGCTGTCTCGTCGCGTCACCCTGGCCACTTTGGCACTATCAATAACAACTGTAACACTGATAATCATCAGCGTCGAATCGAACATGAAGCTAAAGTTCCCGACTGAAAGAAGCCTTTAGACCTCCGGGGTTCGGAAAGTCTACTCTCCGTTGACCGATATGAACCCGCAAACAACAAAATGCGATCAAACAAGGTCATGGCAAATGCCATGGGATGGATGCTGGAGTTGGGTATGTGCCTCGGCTCGGTAAGATA